TTTGCTACCAAGCACAGAGCAGCACAAGGAGCTACGGGCCGGTGTTTGAAGAGCAACCTGTCAACACCCTCTTTCCTGAAGGCTCAGCAGAAGAGAAAATCACACTGGCTTGCCGAGCAAGAGCAAGCCCTCCTGCGACTTACAGGTGAGGTAACCTGCTCTCAGCCACTTATTCTGAATCCCTGTGATGATTAAACACTGCAAGGATGGGTGTTTATAAATCCCTGGGAAGACATCAGAGCAATGAACGTGGTTCTGGCAGGTTGGCACTAAAATACGAGGGGAACAGGCCATGTCGATACCAAACGAGCGTCCCACAAAGACTCCTGAAGGACTGAAGCTTTGGCTGGGAGTGCCCAGTTTGGCACTGGCCAGGTCTGCATCCAGCCTAAGGTGGCAACATCCCAGGGTAGTTCCCCTTGGACTCCCTGACAGCCCTAATGTGAAATGAGCCATCAGCAATTTGAGAGAGTTTTTTCCCATCGCAAAGGGCACCGCATCAGCAGTCTTGGTAAAGAGAGCTCTAAGATGAGTGCCCACAATGCTGAGGAATGACAGAGCTTGGGACCAAGTCCTCTCCCCCTTCTATACCAGGACTAGGACCCAAGCATCAGGAATTTTGATTTCTGCTCTCCACTTTCGTAAAAAGAAAATAATTAACATGGGAACCGGTCTTCCCTTCTGCTCTCACACATGATGTCCCATCCCTCCCAGGTCACAGACCAGGCATAAATCTAACTCAAATCCCACGACACCTCAGCTAGAAAAACAAGCAAGCCCAGCCTCCTCTGAGGCACCCATGAGCATACAGTGGCAACGACTGTTTGCCCCTCTCACTTCTTTGTGTGTGCTCCTGGCAGGTGGAAGATGAACGGCACAGAGATAAAGATGGAGCCAGACTCCCGTTACAGGCTGGTTGCAGGCGACCTAGTGATAAGCAACCCAGTAAAATCCAAGGATGCTGGCTCCTACCAGTGTGTGGCATCTAATCCCAGGGGCACGGTTGTCAGCAGAGAAGCATCCCTCCGTTTTGGCTGTAAGTCCCATGTTTGTCTCCACAAGGTAAATGAAATGCAGCCACAGTAATGCTGAGGTAAACCGACCCCCCCATTAATAAGGGTCAGAGAGCTGCTTTCCTGCACATGGTACCCAAAATCGTCACTTTGAGAATTCCCCCAGGACCTTCCATTAACTTGGAGGAGCAGTAGGAATTGATGTACTGCCAAGAAAGTAATATTTTTGAATCTCCCTCTGTAAGGCCACTGAACAGACAGGCCTCTGGATGGGGAGATGAATGTTTCTGCTATTACTTTGTTGCCTGGAATACATGTTTTTTTAAAGTAAAGAATCTGTTAAAGAGAAAAAAATACTCTAGGTTTTGTTCTGTTTTCTTGCTTACTCCATAGTCACAACATGCCTTCCCCTTGAAATAAGTCGAGATCCAGATATAATACAGTAATTCCTCCAGCTGTTTTCTCCATGCACAGAGAGGTTTCACCTTGCATGTTTAGTTTTGCAGGAATTCTCTGCAGAAGAGCGAGACCCAGTGAAGATCACAGAAGGCTCGGGAGTGATGTTCACCTGCAGCCCTCCTCCACATTACCCAGGTAAGGGTTTTCATTTCAGGATCGCTAGGAAACAGGAACTAGCAAGACTGCTGGTGACAAAAAGAGAGATGTAATAGAGTAAGCGATTGTCAGACAAGTGAATCACTTCTTGATTTGCTTTGGGAATTTTAGGGAAGGAAATTTGTTTTGAATTTAGAGTCTGCAAAGCAAAAGAACAGAGATAGGACTTGGTGCATGGAGAAAACAAGTATGATCCAAGGAGCAACTTAGGCTTACACTGGTCTAGAAAGTGGCCCATTTGCCTTAATCTGGCTTGAAAGGCTACAGACAACTCAGTATTTTGTGGAGTTTATTCCTTTTTCTTTTCCACATAGGCTTGTCCTATCGATGGCTTCTGAATGAGTTTCCCAATTTCATCCCAGCGGATGGAAGGCGGTTTGTCTCTCAGACAACAGGAAACCTTTACATTGCCAAGACAGAGGCTTCCGACCTAGGAAACTACTCATGCTTTGCCACCAGCCACATTGACTTCATCACAAAGAGCGTCTTCAGCAAGTTCTCCCGACTCAGCCTTGCAGCAGATGGTCAGTACTTTGGGATTACCATAAGGGGACTTTGTAAAATGCAAAATTAAGAAGCCACCTCAAAGCCCACAGGCTCCACCAGGTTCCAGGACCTGCACAAATCACTCACCAGCTTCCCTTGGTGGAACTTAAGGGCTCACAAAAATATTAATTGGCTGGACCCTGGGCGAACCAGCTCTCTTCCCAGGCCGCACTGCCAGTGCTGCCATCAGCAGGGTGCCTCTGTGTATTTATAAAAGAGAAAGGGCCTCATGTACAGCCTGTGCAGGCTGGAATTACCCTCTTCTGCCTTTAGTGACCTTGCAGAGATGCAGCAAAAGGTAATTCTTGGGCAGGGTGAAAGGGGTTAAGCAGGTAGGGAATTAAGGAGAAGTAGTCCTGAGGGGTTGTAAAGAAGAGGTTTTTAGAGACTTTAGTAAGAGCTATTTTAAAAGGAAAATGAAACTTAGCCTCTGCCCATTTATAAATTATCCAAACTCAGAAGAGTTTTGCAAAGCAGTGAAACCTTGCAAGTACCTTTGCCCTTTTAGACCTCACATATGCAATTTTACAGTCATTCAGAACTCCTTAATAGTGCTTTCCTTTTAACAGATGCCAGGCAGTATGGACCTACCATAAAAGCCAGGTTTCCTGCAGACACCTACGCTCTGGCTGGGCAGACGGTGACTTTGGAGTGTTTTGCCTTTGGAAAGTGAGTCTAGTGTGTGTGTTATCCAGGCTCGGGGGGAGGGCATCACAGCGCCTGCCACCTTCACAGCGACCCTCTCCTTAACTGATCCTACTATAGGCAGGAGACAGAGGGGGAAAAAGGAGGAGGGATCAAGTGGCAAAAGCAATTTATCTTGCAAGCCAAGGCCCAGCTGGGATGGGAGTGGCGTCGCTAAATGGGGCTTGGACTATACTACATTGCACAGTATGAGGTGTCTGCTGCATTAGGCCCCAGAGCTGGGCTTCACCACATTTACTTTTACATAGCCCTGTGCCTCGAATAAAGTGGAGGAAGGTGGATGGCTCCCAGCCCTCCAAGTGGATTGCCAGTGAGCCCCTCTTGCAGATCCAAGATGTTGGCTTTGAGGATGAAGGCACTTATGAGTGTGAGGCTGAAAACATCAAAGGGAGAGTCACCCACCAGGGCCGTGTTATCATTCAAGGTAAGACATTTAAACACAGGCCTTTCCAAAGCACAGCAAGATGCCCCAGGCAATGGACTGAGCCTTTGGGAGTGAAGCAATCACCTCCAATTCTGCCTCATATCAGCTCCAATTAGATCTAACACAGAGCCATGTACATCACTGATCTCTTTCCTCAGTGGAGTCATTTGGCTATGGCAAGGAGAGAGAGCCTGCCTAACTTACCCTAAACTGATTCTAGCAAAAAAGAGGTAATCATAGATGTTACACAGTGGTAAGAATCACATTTTGCTCTGGACTGAGATCTTCTCCAAGCCTGGGGTATTTGCTCAAGGGTTAATGTTTGGAGCTACTAATCAGATCTAGTCAAGCGGCAAACTTAACCTGGTTCTTCTAGCTTGCATCCAACCTTTCCCAAAGTTTAGGGATGACTGCATTTAGTCTCAAAGAGAGAAACCACAAATGTTCTTCCTCAAATCTGGATTGTGGCATAATTTTGTACAGTCCACATGCACAACTGCAGCCAGACCCATAGAGGACTCAGCCTTGCATCGCTGCACAAAAGGCAAAGGCTGTTACTATGGTGAAACACACTGTGATAAATAAATCTGCCAGCACAGAGATGACACAGTGAGCATCCTTCTGCCTGCCTGGCACAACAAACCTCTCATCCGATCTTCTTGGCTCTGCCATCTCCCTTGCTCCTTTGCAGCTCAGCCAGAGTGGCTGAAGGTGATCACAGACACAGAAGCCGACATCGGGTCTGACCTGCGCTGGAGCTGTGCGGCAGCCGGCAAGCCGAGGCCAGCGGTCAGATGGCTTCGAAATGGGCAGCCGCTGACCTCCCAGGTACCGCAGCGCAGACTTCGCAGACTGAAAATAGCTCAGCCAGTACACATCATGACTCGCAGTACTCAATCTCCTGCTCCAAACCTAGATCCTTGACTGCCTCACTGCAAATTCATCTCAACCGTATCTTGTAACCCTACTTTTCTATTCCACATTCCCCCATGAGGCTGCAAAGCAAATTCCTTCTCCTATCACTGCCATCCAGTCATTGTTTTTCATGCAGCTATGGGAACTAATAGCCAATTATCAAGGCAGACAAATATTACCTTGTGCCTATCTTTGTATGACCTGCATGTTACTGCTCAGGCACTCAGAAGTCTCAGCAAACAGAGCACAGTGATGTGGGGTATGAACTGGATACATATATAATCTGGCATAAGTTTTCTCCCACAGAAAACAAGGTGTAAGAGTCTGTAAAAGTCTGTTCAAACTGGCATAAGAGTCTGTGATGAAACTCAACCCTGAACGCACAAGGCTTGAGTTCCATTTTTGTTGTCCTCATCTAATGGGTTGATCCTCTTGTTTGCACAGAACCGCATCGAAGTGAGCGGTGGAGAGCTGAGATTTTCCAAGCTAGTCCTGGAGGACTCTGGCATGTATCAGTGTGTGGCTGAGAACAAGCATGGCACAATATATGCAAGTGCTGAATTAACAGTGCAAGGTAACTTCTCATTTCCCAGTGCTCTGGGTTTCAATGGGACACTGAAGCATTTTATATTTCTTCCTAATATACTATGCTTGTCATATCAGAGTATGATAAAAGCAGACAGAAACTGCTTCACTCACCATTGAAATATAGTTGCTGGTTGAGCAAAGCACTCTACAACCCTTTACAATTTGAAAATTGTGTAAATTCAATAATGCCAGAAGAGCACAAGGACATCTGTTTTAGCTACAGAAAGTGTACAGGACAGACAACAGCAGCAATATAAGCTCCCTTCCACTACGTAACCTTTCTGGTTTTTTGGAGGAAAGAGTTCAGAGAAGAGTTCAGTAGCCACTCAGTCTGCTTTGAGAGATGGTGACTGAAACTGGGCTGATGCCAAACTCTTTCCACATTAGTCTAACAGCTTATCTCCTTTTGGTCAGTAGACATTAGAGATGAATGAAAGCCTCTAAGCAGCAACCGTTTAACAGTAGCACACTGCAACGTATGAAGCCGACAAGCCCAGTTGCTTCTCTGCAATTCCAGGAGGAGTTTTAGGTGAGATGGACATCTGCATTTGCAGCAGGTGACTTTGGTCAGGATATTAAAGGGAATATCCTCTACATTTTCAAAAGCAGTTGTTCTTGTGTCTCTCAAAGACCTTGCACTTGTTAGGGTCACATCACCATTGCTAAGTATGACACATGTGTCATATGGCTTGGCAAGCATTAGAAACCACCGAGCATTTGGCAGCAGAGGACTCGCTCCATCTCATGGTGCCTAATATCTGGGACTCGCTCACCCAGATATTGCCATGCTTCTATTACCGAGTCATCTGACAACAAAATCAGTATCTAGCTACAGCACAGTTAAAATGCTCACATAGCAGGGCTTTCTAATCAGTCCTTATAACTCTTTTTCTTCCATAGCCTTAGCACCCGATTTTAGACTAAAGCCAGTGAAGCGACTGATACCTGCAGCCCGAAGCGGGAAGGTCATCATCCCATGCCAACCAAGAGCAGCACCAAAAGCCACTGTGCTCTGGACCAAAGGGACTGAACTGCTGATCAACAGTAGCAGGTAGCAGCGCAAAGTCAGCTTCTACCTAGAAACAATAGCTGAAACCACGTCTCTTCTTGCCAGAAAGCTGGATTTGATGACCCCAGTGTGCTGCTACACCCCAAAACACATACAGTTTGCTATTCCTCTAGTTTCTTCTTTAAGAACTCTTACATAACATCTTGCAGTCCTATCTTTACCACCGATTTTTCTAAGATCAGCAAGAACTGACAACTGCTTGTCAGGCACACAGAGTGAACTGAAATTTTAACCTTCCTTCTTGTTGTGGTTCTTCTTCCTTTCCAGGGTGACTATTACCACAGACGGTACCTTGATCCTCCAGAATATCAGCAAATCCGATGAGGGAAAGTATACCTGCTTTGCTGAGAATTTCATGGGCAAAGCCAACAGCACTGGAATCCTCTCTGTTCGAGGTAGAGATGTTTGACTTGCTTTACAGTCAATCAAGCAAGAAAAGTGCTAAGAATGCCATGATGCGAAGAGAAACATATTTCTCCTCTCCTCATACTCCCAAAAAGCAATTCAGTACTCAGGGAATCTGAGTCATTTCAGCCTACAGAACAACAATCCTTCTACCTGACCCACCATACCAATCCTACCAACATCTGGTGCTTGGGAAAAGTATTTCCTTTTTCTATCCCTTATCTTCCTCTTGTAAAGCTACAGGTGGTTCCCGTTAGAGAGGGGATGACAAGAAGTTAGAAAGTGCCAGTTGATTTGGATGCTCTGCAGCATTAATACAAATCTGTTGTGTTTGGAGAGCATTTGCAGCTAGCTAACAGCCCCTCACTGTTTTTTTCTCTGCAGATGCCACCAAAATCACACTGGCACCATCTAGTGCTGATATCAATGTAGGTGAAAACCTTACTCTACAATGTCACGCATCCCATGATCCAACTATGGACCTAACCTTCACCTGGTCACTAGATGATTTCCCCATTGACTTTGACAAGTCTGAGGGGCACTACAGGCGAGCAAGCGTGGTGAGTAGAAAGGGCAATTACGCACCATGAAAAGGGACACAAAACTAAAGCATCTTTGTTTCCATGTCAAAAGCTGGATCGTGACCAGACGTGATCTAATACTGTCCTCACCGCCTTTTCTCTTCTCCACACAGAAGGAAACTATTGGGGACCTCAGCATCTTTAATACCCAGCTGAAGCATTCAGGGCGGTACACATGCACAGCCCAGACCGTGGTGGACAGTGCTTCGGAGTCAGCCATGCTGACTGTGAGAGGTAATTTCTCTGTCATGAGATTCTCTGCTCCTCATTGCTCCTTGCAAAGTATCAGCGCACTCCTCTGCCAACCACCTCACAAGCTAACATTTGAATTGGATGGAATAGGTCTTGAAAGTTTTGAAAGAGACTAAAATTTGAGGTGAGGCTTCCTGCTCTCCAGAGGAGAGAGGCCTGACTATAATTTATGACTTGGAGAATTTAAAGAGCAAAAAGCCTCCAAATCTCTATCATGTTCATTACACGTCCATCTGTCTGCCATCATCCCAGGACCTCCAGGCCCCCCAGGCGGTGTGGTGGTGAGAGACATCAGTGATACCACTGTCCAGCTGAGCTGGAGCCGCGGCTTTGATAACCACAGCCCTATTGCCAGGTACATCATTCAGGCCCGGACCCTGCTCTCCAACAAGTGGAAGCAAGCACGTACCAGTAAGTGTCTGTAGGGCAGCAGCTGTGGCATGACTCACGCTGCAGTGGTCAGGGGTGTCAGCTCTCTGGTAAGTTCCCGCTCTATGTAGGCTAGCTGCCACTTGCTCCATTTGTTCTCTTCTCATGTTATTGGATTATATAGATCCTGCAAATATTGAAGGCAATGCAGAGACAGCCCAGGTGGTGAATCTCATTCCTTGGATGGACTATGAGTTTCGGGTCTTAGCAAGTAACATCCTTGGAGTTGGGGAACCAAGTTTACCCTCCAGCAAAATCCGTACCAAAGAAGCAGGTATGTGTAGATACATTCAGAGACAGAGAGAGGAATCAGAGTTACTTTTCCCTTCACTCTACAAGGGGAAGGTTGGCTTGCATGCTGCCTTCAGCACAGACAGATAGTCATCTCGAGGGCTCTACAGGTGATGCCATCACAAAATGTTGTGCCATTTTGCCTACTCACATTTCAAAGATAAAGAAGTACCAACTTTATTAGCATTAGTTGTAATATATTAAACCATTATAACATGTCAGTTCCATGCCAGTTGCAAAAATCAAGGCAAGTCCTAGCCTCAAGTACTCTACCTTCAGAGCAGTAATGCTTAGAAACAGGAAAGAGCCCTATATCACAAAAACAAGGTAAATTTCCCAGCATCCATTAACGTTAACGTTAAGTAGATACTGTGCTGCGCAGCTTGAACATGCAAGTAGAAGGGATGTAAGAACAGCAGAAGGAACGCTCTGAACATATGGAACGCATAATAATTCCTTTCTAATAAAAGCTCTCCCACATATTCCTGCTTTTGAGCTTGATTCTCATACCCTCTGAGAAACGCTGTCTCCAAATGAACTCAACCAGGGATAGGCCAGGGTTCTAGGCCTGATGTTCAGAAACATCTGAAATACAACTAAAAACATACGAGCCAGCACTTTTGTACAAGCTGTCAAAGCCTGGCTACTCCCAGGCCTGGCAGCGCCTGTGCTCATCTTCATTGCTATTATTTCCTTAAACCAACCTGTGCTGCCTCCTGTTTTTTGGGAACGCGACAGCACCTACCGTGGCACCATCTGGGCTCAGTGGAGGTGGAGGGGCTCCCAACGAGCTTATCATCAACTGGACGGTAAGTCAGCGGCACCAGCCGTGGGTGCTGGGAGAGGGCCGGGGGAGGAACTCGTATCATTCCTGTTGGGAAATCAATGCTACCATTACCACTACGGTGTGTGGTTGAGCCAAACCCTGTGTTTAGTGGCAGTCCCAAAGGCTTGCTCGTTGCAATGGCATTTGCACAGTCAAACCTGAGAGGACACGCGGGAACGATTTCGTTCATGGTGGATGTAAGTGATCACCCACACCCAAGGCTTCTCTTTTTTTCTGACTCCCCTCACAGCCGACGCTGCGGGACTATCAGAACGGGGATGGCTTTGGCTACATCTTGTCGTTTCGCAAGAAAGGCACCCAGGGGTGGTTTACTGCAAGGGTGCCTCACGCTGAATCCCTGCACTATGTCTACCGCAACGAGAGCATTGGTCCCTACACCCCATTCGAAGTGAAAATCAAAGCGTACAACAGGAAGGGAGAGGGACCTGAGAGCCTCACAGCCATTGTGTACTCTGCAGAGGAAGGTAAGGAGGGACAGCAGCAACCCTGTATCCCCAGGGCTTTGTCCGATCAACCAACGTGCCTTCAGCCACCCGCTGCAGAGCCCTGCCTGTCTGAGAGCACACCGATAGCAGAAGGTTCTTTTAGTCAAAGAGCAGCTGATGGTGGTTTCAGCGCAAAATTTATCTTCTACATCAAATACGCAGAGACACGTTTCCCTAAGTACACCTATGATTGCATACGGAGAAGAAACAGTTCCTCACAGCATGCAGCTGCAGGCCTGCTCGTCTTATGGCGTCCATAAATCCCCTTCCCTTACTTTGCTCCTTGCACGTAACGCCAGCTGTCCAGCCATAGGGTAATGGTGCTGTTGTCAAGCCTCTGCTTTCAGGATAGCGACTGTGCTGCCCACAGCTAGGAAAAGGATTGTATTCCCTTTTGTTGTCTTTTTCAGAACCGAAAGTGGCTCCTTCCAGAGTTACCGCCAAGGCTGTCCTGTCCTCAGAAATGGATGTGTCCTGGGAGCCTGTTGAGCAGGGAGACATGACTGGAGTGCTTTTGGGCTACGAGGTAAGGGCCTGCAAGTGGAATAAGGGATGCTAAAACTCAGGGCAGAGCCCAGAGCAGGAAATTCCTTGGTATCTCAGAGGTAGGACAAAACCCTAGGCTAAAGGAGGTGCAAGGTGAAGGAGGATGACAGTATGGGGCCCTAATGGGACCAGCGCCATTGCTCATGAGAGAGAATAGCAAGAGAGAAATATCCACGCTTTTCTACCTGCCTTTCCACACAGGCTGTAATTTTGTTCCCAGGCACATACCAAGCAAGACACAGAAATAAACACCAAAGGATTGCCAGCACTGGCCTTGGATGGAGTGGGCCTGGTGTTCACAGATGTCTTTATCCTTACTAAACCCATCACACCCTTTTCTACTTAGATCCGGTACTGGAAGGATGGTGATAAAGAGGAGGCAGCTGACAGAGTGAGAACGGCAGGACTGGTCACATCTGCTCACGTAACAGGCCTAAACCCTAACACAAAATACCACGTGTCAGTCAGAGCTTACAACCGTGCCGGCACTGGGCCCCCCAGCCCCTCTACCAACACCACTACAACAAAACCACGTGAGTGATCCCTGACCACCCTATGTCTGCACATTGTACTCCCCTGGGCAGCTGTTTCCTCAAGGTGATCTTCAATGTCAGCTGAACCAATGATCAGCTAACTGATCAGCTTTTACATCTCTGTGCTCTAAAGCCATTTTAACTAGTCAATAAAATAGAACACCCTGAATTTCCCTAAGTCAGCCTTGTGGTCTATGCCTCACTTACCTGAGAAGATCTGTGCTCAGTCACAGATATAAAGAAATATTTTGAGCCCCACATGGAGAAAATATCATTTGTTATCACCAACACCAGGGAGAGAATATATTTGTTTTTCCTTCTTTTCTATATGATGCTTGCTAGGATACTTTCCTTTAAAGCAATCAGTGGTGGTGCCACCAATCCTGTCGACTAGTCAGAGAGTCTCAGGAAACAGTTGTAACCTGCAACAGCCTTCTCACTGGTCCCGGACTTACTGAATCTCTGTTTTGTTTCGTATCTCTTAGCACCAAGGAGGCCACCTGGCAACATCTCCTGGACCTTTTCTGGGTCTACTGTCAGCATCAAGTGGGACCCAGTGGTGGCACAGGCAGATGAGTCTACAGTTACAGGTTACAAGGTAAAGGCAGCATGTAAAAGACCTTCTCTTTATATGTGTGCCTGAGGAAATCCCAGTGAACATAAACTCAGACTTGCCTCTTCCAACAGATGCTTTACAGACAGGATTCCCACTCTGCTCCCACACTATACCTGGCCAGCAAGAGCCGGATCGACATCCCAGTCCCTGAAGACTTCACCCATGCCTTCGTACAGATCAGGGTTACAGGACCTGGGGGAGATGGAATCCCAGCAGAAGTTCACATCCTCAGAAACAGTGGTAAGTATGTGTGCCCTTTCTCTGACTGCATGCATATCCTATGCACAAATGCTCATTTATAGGGTGCTTCACTGGGAAACAAGCTCAGGTGGAGAAGTTAATTTTAAGGACTACTTACTTACCTGCCACCTGCTACTACAGTTCTTCAATACGTAATGACTCAGTCATACCTCCTCCCAGACTTGGCGAACATAATACTATAAATGTTTTAAAATCCCACTTTCCATTCCAAGAACATGGGGGAACATGGAAACACGGAGAAACCCGGAAACATGGAGAAACCCTAGTGTTTTACGTTGGGTGCCTAGAATTTTATGTTGGTGCCTGGAATTTGTCTTTGGCTCCCTCACGTTCTTCACTAAAGGATGTTCTAATGTATTCCTCTCTACCACTCCACCAATTCACTTCTCTCCAGACTCTCTGACCAACATCTTAGTCTAGCCTGAACCCAGGTTTATCATTTTCAGCTAGAGCCCCAGAGGTCCTCAGCCAAGATAGAGTCATTAAGAGTGAAATGCTGACTCCATTGACAAGACTCCACTTGTGGGGCCTCAATCTCACTCCCAAGCCCAACTCCAGCAGGTTACACCTGCTTCAGTGGATAAGTGCTCAGGGCCCTCCTCCAAATTCTGTTTCAAACAGAAGTGTTCCTGGGATGTTCTTCAGTAACAAATGTAACAGGAGCATGCAGGACTCCTGGAACTAACATTTTACCATCCCTCTTGATTCTTTTTGCAAGAGAACAGTTTGTGCCTGTGCAATAACACAGTTGCTCCTTCCTTGTTCCTCTTCTTTCAGGTACAAGCATGATGGTGGAAGATTCTGTGACCAAGCCAGTGCCACATGCTATCATTATAACAACTAACTCTCTAGTAATGTTGGCCCTGATGGGCTACCTGGGGCTCTGATGATTGCCAGTGTGACAAAGGACTCCAGGACACACTTCCTCCTAAACCAGTGGGGAACTACTTAGCATTTGGCTATTTCAACTTCAAGTTTGTACCACAGCGGCATTACAGAGAAAGGATTTGACAACATTGTTTTAAGGGAGGAAGGAAGAAACACCCTTTTTTTTGGAAGAATATAAGATTTCATACAAGACATGGGTCTTTAACTAATCAAAACATTTTTAAAGAAATGAGTAAATCAAAGAATTCTACATGAATACTGAGAGCCGACTGTCCCATATGCTGTGTCCAGTAGGTTTTCTGCCTTATGAAGCCATGTACTAAAATAATCAGACTGCTAAACTTGACTTTTTTAAAAATACGTACAGTGTACTTGGGGGGGTGGGGGGAGGGAGGATGGGGACTGAAGATTTCAAAGTGATCAGCATGTTCCATAACAATCTCAATCACAGCCATCTCTAAGGAATTATGGGACAGGATTTTTTTTTCCCATAAAACGAGCCAAATATTGCAGCAACCAGCCCAAGGAGATAAAGCCACAAGAGAAACTGATCTCTGCGCCATCCTGAAGGAGATGGGAGAGCATAGAGTTTAGAGCATAAAAATCTTTTTTATGACACCAGTGTTAACTTGCAACTCCAGCCTGTTGTTCATATCAACTGTGATGCTGTGAGGTGCAATGTTAAATATTACCATATCCCATATGCTTTTGGGGTGTTTTTGTTATATTGTTTGCTTCTTTCCATTTTGTTTGGGGAGGAGGGGTAAGCAAAAAGGAGATACTTTTCTAGCATACACCAATTTGGAGAGGAAGTTCCAGCTGATAAAGGAATTTCAACATCTTTAACTTCAGCAAGTAGAGAGAGGATCTTAAAGGAGGAAGAAAAAGGAATATTTCATAATTTAACCAAGAATTGGAGACTCAAGGAAACCATCACTGAGGTAACAAGGAAAATCTGGACTCAGGCAGACTTATCTCCCTACTACAAATGGTTCTGTCTCGCCAAAATATGAGCCTCAACTCGGGATTGCAAGATTGAGATCTAACCAATAAGTTAGTCTGTTTTTCAGGTGCAAGGCTCACACAACTAATGTAAATAGGGGCTGATAGCCCAAAGATGTATGGGGATGTTGAGGTGCATCGTTAACTAAAATGGCTGGGGAATAGTTGTTGCATATTAAAATCTCTATGTCTCATGGTGAAGCAACCAAATGGCTAAAGTTAACTAGAAGATGATTTACATTGCTTGCTGGGTAGTTCCCAGGCTCTTTCAGGGATACCTTCTTGCCTGTACCTTCCTCCTTCACAGATGACAATACTGCTGGCCTAGCAATCTCAATTTCATAGTTATCCAGCAAAGAGCTATGTTTGCAGAACTGTGCAATGGGAAGGAATTGACATGCGGTTTCTACGCTAAATACCACTTCCTTGCCTCATCCAACCTCACTGAAAAGGCTAGTTCAGGAACTCTTTGCTGTCCACAGATACCCTGTCCTCCTGTGATAGCTCTAAGGAATCATGCTAATAAATCTGCAGACTCCGGTGCTCAGGTTTCCCTGGTGCAGTTGTTGTACATGTTAACAACAGCTTGGACGTGTTAACTACAGCAAGCAAGTTGCAGATAGCAATGCATAAGCTTCAGCTCTTGAACCACCACTTGTTTATGAGATGCTTCTCATAGCCAATCTAGGCTTAGATGTCAGACACAGGTCTTGGACAGCTTGCTCTGGCTAATCATTTTAAAACTACTATCCTGGACCTTAGTGAGCATTTAAGAGCTTAAATACATAAATCCCTGGCCTCCCAGAGGAGCTATGCCCTATTGTATATATCTACAGTATCCCGTTATAATCTTGTAGCATCTGGCCGACACTGGAAGTAGGAAGGTATATGCACCAGGAGGTTTGCCGTGTGTGATGCAAGGCCCCGGTGTGAGGAGAAGGCCCCTTGCTGTGTGGAGAAGGCCCCTTGCTGTGTGTCCAGCAAATGAGAAAAATGTTTTAAGAGACAGGACAGGAAAAATAAACTTCAGGAAAAAAGCCTAAGTGTTTAGAGGACAGTTGCAGGGAAAATTAAGAGCACTTCATAGTTTCGATTACAAATAATCCCTGGGATAAAGTGAAAGACAGACAGCAGCTCCCACTGATACATGGCAGGCTGAGGCAGGCAGCAAAGGGAGGGAACCGTCAGTCCTCCAGACCCTTTCCATAGCTACTCCCATGTTACTCTGCAGCTCCACCATGAACTACCCCTCGGTCCCTCTAGCAGGTTGTAACACTTCTTTATGAATAATGTCTAAATATAAATTATATTTTTGTATGATTTAAGTTTTTGAAGATTTTAAAATATTTTTATTAATGTTCAGAAGCTTTTTTGGGAAAATATTTTATGTTGTTAATAATTCAACATTTTTGTTATCTCATCACCTCAATCTTGCTGGGCCTTCAACCTTTCTCCCACAAAAGATGGGATAAAAGGAAAATTAGGAATTCAGTGTTATCTCAAAAACATAGCAAATTGGGGCTTGGACAACAGTTCAAGTTCTGATCAATATGCAGAACTAGTGCCAGCCATGATGATAATATTTAGGAGGCATAATCTGTCTAGAGCTATGGAACTTCAAAGCACTGCTGGATGACTCACGCAGCACCCCTGCAGAAGTGCGGACCTTATTTGGCAGAGAAGCAGACAAAAGCAGAAGGATAAAATGACATGCCCCAAGAGCCTTCAGTGAACTGAGACGCAGAAGCTGGAGTCACCCCGCATGTGATCCTGCTGAATACCCTGCAGGGTGGGACTAGAAGATAACTCCCTGGTTAACTCCCTGAAAAGCCTGCTGCACTCCTCGGGAAGGAGTCCACTGCTGCAGGAGGGAGCTGCTCCGGCGTGCAGCCCACACGCCCTGCTTTGCTGCAACCGCATTCGTTCCAGTTTCAGGCACAGACTCTACGTGAGGCTACCTGTGACAGCCCCACTGCATGTCATCAGCCCCATCCAGGGCAGCTGAACTGCCTGCTTTCCCAGGGAGTTCCCACAAGCAAGCAAAGCTAAGCTAGTTACTCCTGGAAAATTCAAGGACTGAGATTCATCATCCATCTAGGTCTAACAACGCAGGCCATGCAATGTCTCTTACATAAACACGGCTCTCAACAGATGCTTCCAAATATGTCTGGCATTACTAGTAGCTACATTCATTTCATTTAACTTTACAGCGCTGGAAAGCAAGACACTTTAAAACGACATGGTGAACGCAGTATCTAAATGCTGCAATGCCACTGGGTTTTACATAGCAGCAACTCGTAACCTGGGAAGGTTAATGCATTTTCCATACGTTTCTTTGTTGAATTAGATCACAGGCAGATTTTATACAAGAACTGAGAACTTACATGAGTTGGATTTCAAACGATCCAGTTAGCACTGCTCTGCGTTGCAAATGGGCTGAATATATTCTAAGATGTGAAATACATGGACAACATTTTCTAAAACCTTTAAGTGACTTACAAGTAGATCCCCTTGAAAGTTAAATGGCTTCAATTTGAAAACAAGGTATGCCTCTTCTTTGAAAAGATAAAACGGTATGTTTGATATTCAGTAGCATTGTCAGTACACATTTTAAACCAAAACATTGCTTAGTTTTTGCAATATTTTAAGCATTATGCATGCATGCAAAAAGGTACACACACTGACTCCATCTACGACTCCAAGCAACTATTTCGCCATTCTCTGCCTCAGTTCCCCTTTCTGAAAAGGCATAAGCTGGTCATTGTGTATTTGCAAGTACTTTGCAGTTTGAAAGCATCTCTTTATTCACACTGCTGTCAAAGGTGTGACCGCAGCTCATGCCAAATATTGGAGTTAATTTAAACTGCCCAGCTCAGGCACCAAAGACAGCACGTCCACGGCAGGACAGGCTGCAGCAAGGCTGAGCAGCCACCCGCATGAGTCCTTGCACAAGGGCGAGCCTGTCCTCGTCTCCGAGCTCTCTCTGCCACCTGGCTGTTAGTGCTCAGCTCACCTAGTCATAGTTCGGCTGATGTAAAGGTTTCCTGAGCATTATAATAAAGAAGCCCTGAAATAAGCATATGGTAAACAGGTAGTCTCTCCCCCATAGGTTTTTGGTAATTTGTGGGGGAATTCATTGACACTCAAGAGCTGCAGAACAGAAAAGACAGGGGCACACTATAAAACAGTGCAGGTAAGCATGGGGCAACATCATGGGTGAAGGATAGAGTATGTTGGGGAGGGAGAGGGGCAGTTAACGATTTTTCACTTCCAACATTGGTAGATGAGAAAGGCCAAGTTCAGGCCAGGTGGTTACAGGCTAAATAGCCCACTCTGGACCAGACAGCTCAGTTTTCGTGTGTAGACAGCAAGCTACATTAAGAGGAAGCCTGCTTTGTCTTAGGCAGTCCATTTTTCCATGTTATTTATCAGGGGGTTGGGTGACATACACAAAGATTGATACATCCTCCTGCTCCTTTAGTAAGGCACAGCCAAGACAGCATCTGTAGCTAGTTGAATTTTATCTGGACGATACAAAACTACATATATAGCTTTATATATACATACACTTTGGCACATAGCCAGAGCCACCAAGAGGCGGAAAGGATGCGGAAGCAGCAGATTGTGAAGCTGGTCAGAGCTTCCTAAAATGCAGCAGAGGGGTTAAAAGGAAAGATGTTCAAAGCCAGTGGAAAAAAATAAGGTTTCAAACATCTTAACAGGGTTTGTTGGATTTACACTATTGCACTAAGCTGCAAATCAATTTCCTGCCTCATTAAGAATCCCCTAAATTTAATTGGCCTGAGTGTTTGCTTTAGGGATTAAGTTACAGGAACTGGAGTTAAGACCCATGGTTTCTGCTCCCAGCACTGCACCGGCCTGCTAAGGACAGCTATCCCAGGGTCCATCCAACTGCTTGCTAGCAGCACCAACCTCAAAGGGACGCTGTAAGGAGTAAGCATCGAGCGGCAAGTGCTCTGAGACTCTCAATCGAGAGAAGCCATACACTCTGACTTACTCATATTCACCATGACAAACTTCCACCTGACACTATTGAACTTTCACACTGAATATTGCATTTCTGGTTTTAGGTTGTCTGAGCTAAATTCAGCACTCAGCTACATGGGTTGGAATCAGGAATATCAGATTTACAGCAGGGCAGACCAGGTGCTCTGTCCCAAAGGGAAACGCTCTCACACCTTTACCAAGGAATCAGTTGGACAACGCAGGCATCACATTCAGCTAATGCCTTGGGGAGGTGAGGGAGTCTCTAAATCCCATCTGCACCAAACCCGCAAAGCTTTCCTCCATCCATATAAACCTTCTGCTGTGAATATTTTAATCAAACTTCACTACACAGGACCAGGACAGTTTTCTTCTCAATAATTTTGTTGTACCCTATTTTTTTAAGAAAAACAAACAGGAAACATTGTAAACATACTGTATTTACTGTAATTATAGTTATTTATTGGCTACAGTAGCACGCAGTTCATAAATAAAGATCCTCAGAGACTTGAGACAACTACTGGAGTCTGGAGTACTTCTGTCCAGCTTTAAACACGATTAGTTTGTGCTTGCGCAGGAGTCCCCCCAGGCCAGGACTACATTTTTCCTCCTGACCGCCAATTGCGCACGTTAACACAAACGAGGAGCCCGCTGAGACTCCAGCCACATAGAGCTGAACTCCTCAGCAAAAGTTAATTGAATTAAGATAGAGGAAGCCTGAATTCAGTGACATGACAGTGAGGCGAGACTATCCTTGGTGCAAGCAATTGCTGGTTTTGAGGGTGTGATTAGATACATTAACATAACATCATCTATCTGGCTAGTATCCCAGTGACCAAAAACTAATGCTAGAAAACTCAGATTGGAAATTTCATGCAGCTTATCAGCAGAAAGGGTAACTGATTGCTGGAACAGCTTGCCAAGAAGCTTCCTCATCAATCACAGGGTTCACATCAAGACTCGAAAATTTACAGAAAAGCTATCCACGGGATCAGCCACAAGCTAATTGCAAAGCTTTGCTTATGTTGTAGAAAATCATTGCCCTCACTGGTAGGAGTACTGCCTGGACATTCATTATGTCAGATGAATTCACCACAGTCATTCCTTCTGGCCTTAAATAAATAAATAAAAACCTATTAATTTCCTTCCACCTTCAGGAAGGATGTCAGGAGACCAACCAGAGCAACTGTACAAGGCCTTAAGGGTCTCCACTGAAGCTAAGCTGCAGCCAGATACAACTGTAGTGTGGAAAGCAGATGGATGAGGAAAGGAGTTCAGCAGCACTGGGCCACAGCAAGTGTCATCCAAGGCCATTTCTGCAGCCCACCCTAGATGCACGTCTGTTTACAGGCTAAAATTCTATAAATCAGCTCAGAAGAAAGAAAGTGTTTTATAGTAAGGCATCACATATCCAGGCCTCATCTCAACAAAAGCAAAAGGGTCACTTTCTGCCAAAATGCCATAAATAACCCCAAATAGTCTTTTGAATTTGGATTGTTAAATTCCAGCTCGGAGCTGTCCCTGGGAGATTTCAAAGACCATGCTGTGGCGGGTCACCGTTGTCATGCTCCTGGCGCAGAGCAGCCCCAAGCAGAGCAGTGAGGGAGACCCACTCTGACCCCCGGGAGGGAGGAAAAGAAAGAAGGAGCGAGGGAAGGAGGAGAGACACACTGCCCATGGCCAGGCCCAGGGCTGCTGCTCCTCTTCAGAGAAGCTACAGCTATCAAGAGGTTAAGGTGACAAGGGTATTTGGTTGCCATGCAAGCACTCCCTGCCTCCAGGCACTATCCCAGCACCCGCTGCAAAGCAGACCTGCTAAAGGGAAACGGCCCCGAGAGGCCGGGCCCAGGTGTGCTCGGGCCCCCTTGCAGGCTACGGCCTCTCTCTGGGCAGAGCTGCGGGCTCAGCCGCAGCTC